GCAGATTCAAGCAATTATTTGGATCTCTTAGAACTTTATAATGCTGGTAGCCTCATGTACTACTAGGTGATGACACATGCACCTGAGTTTGTGTACCCTGAGGAGCATCAGCAAGTTGGGAACCCGTGAGCTCGTCATGGTCATACGTTGGATCATTGATGTCATCATCATCTCCATCGTTGTCTTCATCTTCGTCATCCCTACATCTTGCACGGGAGCTCTCCACTCTCTCAATTGTTGCCCTTTGGCTTGCATGGGTTTGTCATCCTTGGGATGCAGGAGCTGGTGCTTATACATCTTTGGTTCCCATGCAACTCAACTTGTGAGCCATCCATCGACAGGATGTCAACACCTTCTGCAACCATGTTCATGTCAAATGAGAAGTGGTTACATATCGTTTCGGGTATAGTTGAAATACATAGGCATAGGGGTATTACCTTGGCAAATTCTTCAAGGTATGAATTCTCGACCCCTGCTACACGTCCAAGGTAAACTTCAGCCTCATTGGAAAGTTGAGCTAGCTGAGTTGCCTAGAGTACATGCATATTGATCATTACGACATACTTTTCAAGTTAAGCTACGTGAAGACATAGTTCAATTCTAACGCTTACCATGTAGTTCTCAAGTGGCGCTCTCTATGGCGGCACGCTTGTCCTTGTAATCACATCATACGGGTCATCGTCGTCACTCCCTTGTTCATCAATTGGAATGCTCGAGACCGGTGGATGTACAGTGATTCTTGTGGACCTGTGAAGCCACGCCAGGTACTCATGGTAGTCGCTGGTCACACAGTGAGCCCCATTAGTCGGTTCCACCCTCTCTCTAGCTTCCCACTCTTGCACGTACTTTTGATGCTTCACAAGCCAGTCGTTGCCACCAAACCTTTTCCTCCTCGAAATCCTGTAAGGACGACACATGTTACATTTTGAGGCCTTGTACGATGCATGCAATGGTGAGTCATGATACATGCAAAGTCCAGCTTACTCATGCAACTGACGGGTTGTCAACTCATGCTGTAGAGGGAAATTTTGATTCCTACCAAATTGCTTCATCACTCTTTGGGGCAAGTGGTGCTCGACCACATAGTAGAAGATCATCACTACATTGGATCGCCACAGCACCTTCTCAGCCTCAACATATGGGGCCATGTTCAAGTCCCATTCGTCTTGCCTATCATATGGATCCCATTCAACCTGTAACTTGTGTTATTAGTACATGGCCTTGTTGACACTTTATGAAGAAAAATAATGGAAGCCTCGGTGGTAGAACGAACCTGATTCAGAGTTAAAACATCCAAATCATTGGAGTATTGAATGTAGCGCTGTTGCGGCTGACCCCGAACCGACTTAATTCCTGTCCAAAGGTAGCAAACGGGGGGACGACTGTCACCATGTGTCCAAGCCTAAAAAACAAAACAATTCTAAGCATTTCACATAGTGCATGCAGTAAATGAAACACATATAGGCCCCGTTCCACTTGCTGAATTTTGGCTAAAATTGGCTGAAAACACTATTCTGGCTGAATTGTTGTGAGAGAAAATACTATTTTGGCTGAAAAAAGAAGCCGAACAAGCTGGCTTTAGGGTAAGCCGAACGGGGCCATAGCAATCAAATGCAAGATACTTACCGCAACTCTGCCTCTATGCACCCGTCCGATAGGAATGTGCTCCCAAATCCAAATCTAAAGCAAGTATGTGCAACCACCTATGTTCGAATTGGGGTTGGCCCTCCTACATCCCTCACATAGCTACCAATACAATCAAGCAAGAGTGGCAGACCCCCAACTATATTGGGTGATGTTCTCCCATGGCTCACGTAGCTGGGGTAGGACCATCCACGAGACGGTGTTCCCAGAAGCGTCTGGAAACAGGAATTGTGCCACCATGTGCCACAGTCAAACATGAGCGTGCCTCTTAATGACGTCTTCCGGTGCATGGGGAGGGCACATGTTGAAGCATTGCCACAACCAAGCTGAGCTAACACCTAAAGTATTCATCTCCTTCTTCCCTTCTTGAGGGTCAGGTGGCCGGTGGCCGGTAAACTGCTCCACCATATCCTTCCAGTTGAGTGGCTCTACCATTCCTGTCACTACCGGACCATCAAAGCGAAGGCCCAAAATGTAGCCAATGTCTTGCATGAGCATGAACATCTCTCCAGAGGGTAGGTGGAAGGTATGGATCTTCGGACGCCACTTGTCGACGAAGGCGGTGAGGAGGGGACCATCCATGTCTGGGAGGCCAGCATTGATAGCTCTAGCCAAGCCTAGAAAACTGCTCCTGCTCTTGCGAGGTAGGGGCATAGCGCTCGTCCCACTTGAGCGGTCGGTGAGTTCAGGGACACTGTGGGCCCAAGGCCTGCAAAAAACATTAGAATCGATAATGGGGTTAAGACATTATACATGAAAAGAAAATAATGTGTGCAAATCACTTACATCACCGTTGTCAACCATCAAGTGCGCTTGATGGTCCTTATCGTAGTACTTCTCAAGAAGGGGGAAGTGCGGGTGCGCCATGCTACAATTGTGAAAACGATGGGACAACATTAGAATATGGAAAAAGTGAATAAAACATGCTAGATGGTACAAAAACAACTAACAAATGCATGTAATATATAAGCAACACCTATTTTAATCTATGTATGTACCTTTCTAACCTTCGAACCACTATGACTCCCATTCCGTGTTTCTAATTTCTTTGACTTCTTACGTTTCTTATGTGTGGCAGCGGTATGACCGGTTTTGTGGCATTTGGAGCAATGGACCTGTCCCGGTGCCTCATTAAAGTCGCCAAAACCATACATATCTTCACCATACCCGTTCCATGCATCCATAACTCCTTGGAGCCACTTTTTCTTCCTTCTACCTTTGTTTGTCTTTAGAAGGTATGGGTTGGGAACATAATCCAACCCATAGTACTTGGGCCATTGTGTCGGATATAGGTAAGGCTCGAAGATCGACTCCCACACTTTGAGAGTGTTTGACATGAGGTAAAAAGGAGACATGAATTTTTCACTTTCGTGGTCTAGACCCTGCATTTGCAAGCTGTAATGACATGGGAGCAAGGGACATGGAGGAGTTGTGGAATGTTACAAGAGCATTCTACTTTCTCAAGGTCTACCCTATAATTCCTACCACCGTACTTCTCACCCCTAGGGTTTGTTCCTCCGGCTGACCTGATATTGTACACTAACCTCGATGGCCCAAAGGCCTCCCCCACTTGGTTGGAAGCTATTGTCTCCGAGAGATCCAAGTGTTTTCTACCGGCTCTACCCCATTTCTCTTTGGACGCCTTTGCTATATTCCAATGATTGACAAAGTATTAATTGCACTTCCTGAACATGTACTTCACAATACCTGACACGAGGATTGCACGGATACCCTTGAACACCTTGTTGAACTATTCTGAACAATTGGTAGTCATCACGCCGTACCGAAGACCTCCGGCATTGAATGCAAGAGCCTACTTGTCCCTTTGAGGCATATGATCCTCAAACCAACTCTTTGCCCTACCATTGAGGACCTTCTGTAACTCCGCAAGCGTCTCTTCGAACTTTTCCTTGGTTCGACACCCTCATAGTGACTTCAACTTCTGCACTACCTCCTTTTTCTTCTACCTCCTCCATATGTTGGCAGCAAAGTGCCTCATGCACCACCAATGCTCGAGAGGAGAGCATCCATCTACATGCTCTTTTGCAACTATCAGCAGACTGTGATGCCGATCTGAGATCATGCATATGTTCTGAGATGAACGAAGTACATTCTATCTCACAAGCTTCAAGAACCAACACCAGCTGTCGTTGTTCTCACCCTCAGCCAAAGCGAATGCTAAAGGGACAAGTTGATTGTCCGGGTCCACTCCAACGGCAATCATCAATACACCCCTGTACTTGCCTATCAAGAATGTACCATCAACAAGTACTAAGGGACGACAATGCTTGAAGGCCTCCACGGACTGAGCAAAACACCAAAAAACTCTCTACAGAACATGCTTCGGAACGCCATCCATGTCCATCACAATGCGACCCACATAAGGATACCACCGAAGGCCTAGATTGTAGTGTTTCATGGCACTTAGAACCTAGGAACTTGGTTGTACGCCTCTTTCCAATCGCCCCATAGCAACTTTATAACATGCTGCTTTGCCCGCCATGCCTTTGAGTAGTTCACTCTATAACTAGTGAACCCAAATATGGTCTCGATCATGCTTGAAACAGATGTGCCACTATCAGCCCTAACCATGCCAATAAGACGACGACCAAGGTAACGGGCTATGTTTTGGGCGTGCACACCCTTTGGCTTTGAAGATCGACACGTGTGAGATTGCCTCACATTGCGAATCTTCCACTTTTCATTTATCTGCCTCCAAGCCCATAGACCCCATCCACATCCATTCTTGTAGAGGACCATGTACCTCTTGTTCTTGTCTAAGTGGCTCACATAATACGGCCTGTGAAACCGAACAGCATAATCCATCATGAAATACTTGAGATGCTCCAACGTATCAAATACCATTCCCTTCTTAATCTTCACCTCCTCACTATCTAGTACCTCATTGGCCAACAACAACAAACCGATGTCACATATTGCCTGGTCAACCATACTAATGTCCATGAAATTTGGTACCGAAGGTACCTCCACATGGACATCCTTCAATTGCCTCAATTCGACGTCATTGTACTCCATTCTCAATGACCCGTCAGTTGGGACTCCTATTGCGTCTGGAGACCCTCTATCACAACAATCACTTTTGTCCTCGCTACTAGGCTCAGACATGTACTCGTCCTCCAACACATCATCCAAAGTACTTGGCCCCGAAGTAAAGTTATTTTAGTTGCAGAGGCAACATCAACTTCGTCATCCTCCGATCCTTGGGATATGTCATCCATATCATGTGTTCCATCTCCATTGCCATCATCCTTATCAAACATTTCTTCATCGAAATCATCATTCAAGGCACCGGGCTCACATGACCTATCAACTTCTCTAATGACAACCGCCTGTAATTATTTGTCTTGGGTAAGGTTCTCTACGGGCTCCACATCAACACTATCATCCACAGCCACCACACTTTGGCTAGACCCCTTCTCCACAACAACTTCCAACCACCTAACACTGCTACTCTTGACAACCTCTATGTAGTTCTTCCATTCATCCTCACATGACAAAGACATCAACACATAATGTGCCCGTTCCTTCCCACAGTCAAATCTGCCTCTCAAGCTTAGTGGCCACACAAATTTATCCCGGCACTTGCTAACCAAAGCATCAAAGGTAGGAGGTCCACTAAAGAACTCAACATGTTCATGCATGCCTTTGAACTTCTTGTTTCCTTTCACTTTGCCACCATGAAACAATCGCACTAACCGATCCATCTACAAAATACGAACCAACACATCAACAACACATGAACTACGCATTTTGGAAATAAATCATATCCATTCACTAATACACTACAATAACAAAAACTTCACAGTGATGTCAACAAAGGCAACAAACATTCTGATTTAAATCCACCATGCACCAACTACCAAAGTCCATGCAACACGTAGTTTACGTCCAATCCATGGGCAGAGTATAGCCTAAACCTAATCTACGTATCAAATACTAACAAGCAACGATCAAAACATTGTCACCATCCCTAATTTGCTAACACTAGTCTTCAAACTCATGAGGCAAGAAATTAAGAAAAGAGGGGGAAGATCAACCTGGCGGTGTACTTGAGTCCACGGAGCAGGGAGGTCATGGACTACACTAGGACAAACCTCGCCAGCGGTGTTGCCGTGGCAAGGCACGCTGACAATGCGCCAACGACGCGAGGAGCCCACCTGCTCCCCCTGGCGCCGCTCCCCTGCCACATGAGGGAGAGGGAGAGAGACGGTAGTAGGAGCATCCGCTCAACTCATCGGCGGTGAGGGCTTAGATGGCTGGGGTGGCCGGGGACGCAGCGTGGCGGCGGCGGTGCGTAGGCAGGCAGAGTGAAGGAGAGGGAGAGCGTGTAACACCCTCAATGTTATATTGTCCGAGTGGAGTGAAGGAGAGGACTCGTGATAACACCCTCGGTGTGTTTACATTGTAGAAGAAGTGTTTTGCTAAAACATTGCATTAGATCATCATGCTTGTTTGTATCAAAATGTGATGAGAAAGAGAGTGACCAGAACAGAGTGATGGAAAAAGATCAATACAACGTGCATTTGCAAAAAGAAGATGAAGCGAAACAAGAAATAAATGTTAAGTTTCATGTCGCTTTATATTGTTTAGTATTCTAAACAAATTTTATTGAATAAAAATGGTGTACATTGTAATGTGTATGTGAACATTGCATTAGCAATAAAATTTGTACATGTGTATAATTTGGCGTATAAATCAATATCGACATTTGAAACAAGTAGGTAAATGTTAAGTTTCATGGAATTGTTTAGTATTCTAAATAATTTTTATCGAATAAAAACCGTAGGATGTGTATGTGAACTTTAATAAAATTTTAGTCGACAATGAAACAAGTAGGTCGGAAGAATTGAAAAACCGTTCAAGTTTAAGGCGTCGCGAAGCCACGTTCAAAGCATTGTTTGTAGAGAAATCGGCTTAGGAAGTAGCATAGTGTCGTGGCATGGGTCGATAGTCCTACGTACCCTCTTGCGTCTAAAAGAATTGGTTTGGCGTTTGGACCATTGGGTAGGATTTCGTGACTGCTTTAAAAACCGTGCACATCACCTACTTCGGACAAAGCCATCACTGACCGTGGTCATGCTGCTGCCTCGGCTGTCTGCCACCGCACGTAAGCGCACTACACACAGGTCCTATAAACTCTACCTCGCCGTCGCGTCGCGCGGTACCTTGGTCGCGCTATACGCCTCCCGTCGCCAAGCTGGTACTGCTCCCATTGACTCGCCTTGGCTGCACGCGCGCGGAATGATCGCTGCCTCCGTCGTTTTGTGCATGGGCATGTTGCGTTGACAACCATGGCTATGCCAAGCCATGCCGCGCCAGAGCCATGTCCTCGCTATAGCCATGATCGGTGGGACCTCCTTCATTCAATTTGTCATGACCGCAGCAATCCAATCAAATTCGTCGCATCCTTAGCTCCGCTAGACAGCCAGCAGCTCGATTGACATCACCTCACCGATTGTAGCGCCTCATTGTGTATCAAATTTGGAATCGCAGCTCCGCCGGCTCCATAAGACCAAAGTGGTCTGCGTTGTTGCCATGCCGCCCAACCAAAGCTTGCCATTGCAATCCACCGCACTGCTAGCTTCTCCTCTAGTTACGTATCGCTCGGCCCACTCATTCGAGGCCCCACCGCCCAATAGCGTCCTCTCCACGGCCGGTGGAGCCATGCCCGAGTAGAGCAGAGCAAACAGAGCAGCGGTGGTGCGTTATTAGCTTGTTGACGTCATCCTGACGTCACCCCCACGTCACACATGTTTTGTGGCCATTTTCATGTAGGAAAATAAATCGTTGAATACGGTAGAAATCGCAGCGTCTGCGTCGCTCACGCGCGGCTGGGCCAGCCAGCGGCGCTCACGCCGCCGCTGCCGCTGCCACCGCACCACGCTTGCTTGCCGCCGCTTAGGCCAGCGTCGCGCCATGGCCTACCCTCACCGTCGGCGCTTGCTTGCTGCCATGGGCCGAGGTCGTCGCGCCCACCGTGGGCGACCTACGCCGCGCTCGCACGCGCGCTTACGCGCGCGCTCACGCGCACGCACGCCCGCGCAGCGCTGCTGCTTCTTGCCGAAGGCGCATGCATTGCAGGCATTGGGCTGCTTGCGCCTGGCTTGCGCGCTTTGCTTCTTTGTCTGTGTCGGACCGTATGGGCCGCAAGTGGGATTTGGTTTCTAAATTTCTAGAAAAATAGAATTGCCTTTTCCAATTAGTTTCCAAGCCGAACTTTAAGAAATTGTAGTAAATTGTGTAGTGGTCCAAAAATAGTGAAACCAAGTTTGTTAGGTTCACAAAAATACCATCTATCTGTTAGTGTAGTTAGTTCACAGTTAGCTATTATGATGATAGGCTCATAAAGTCTAATTAGAAAACTTAGCATTATATAGATTAATATTGTAGGAATTATTGTGGCAAATCGGTAATAGTTTGAGCTTTGAAAAGTTTACAGTAGGTTCAATAGGGTATTAGGTACTTGCTGTAAATTTTGTAGCCTTAGAACGAGTTGCTAAATAGAGTAGATATTACCCTTGTTTATTTGTATATAGCATAAATCATTGTTACGAGTAAAAATACCGGTAGTGGCTGTAATAATGATGAATGCCATACTTTACGCTTGTGGTCGATAGCAATAGCTTAGTAGTTAAATCAATGTACTGTCATTGTAAAAGCTGCTGATGTTATATTCCTAAGCATTGCATCATCATTTCATGTAGATCACGAACTAGTAGATTTCATGCCCGTCGGCAAGCCGGAGTACGATGAGGTGATCGAGGAGTACAAGGAGGAGATCTTTGCATAGGAGGACGCTCAGGAGCCTGTTGATGCTGACCCCGCGCCTGCCCAAGGCAAGCCCCGGTGCATAACCCATATTTTTATGATCACTGAATATATATATATATGTGATGTCCATTTAAGTTACAGGCATTTTATGGAAACTACATGCATAAATATATCTACCCATGAGTCCTACTAGTACAGGTCGAGTAGCTGCTATGCTCAGGATATCGGTAGCGTGAGTAACCTGTTGCTGCCCATGCTGAAGCTGTTCCTGATCTTACCTCCATTCTGGTAGTATGTGAGTTCCCGAATGTTTTCCCTGAAGACCTTTCTGGGTTGCCACCGGACCGTGAGGTAGAATTCTCCATTGAGCTTAAGCCTGGTACTGCTCCTATCTCTAGACGCCAGTACCGCATGGCTCCAAGAGAACTAGCAGAAATGAAGAAGCAACTAGAAGAATTGATGGACAAAGGTTTCATCCGCCTGAGTTCTTCGCCATGAGGTTGCCCCGCTATTTTCGTGAAGAAGAAGGATGGTACCTTGCAGATGTGTGTGGACTACCGCCCCCTTAATGCGGTAACAGTTAAGAACAAGTATCCTTTGCCCCGCATAGATACTTTGTTCGACCAATTAGTTGATGCTAAGGTGTTCTCGAACATTGATCTCAGATCAGGCTACCATCAGATCAAGATCAGGCCACATGATATACCAAAGACAACCTTCTCTACTAGGTATGGGCTGTATGAGTACCTGATGATGTCTTTTGGTCTTACCAATGCTCCTGCCTTCTTCATGTACCTGATGAATTCGGTCTTCATGCCGAAGCTGGATAAGTTTGTGGTGGTTTTCATTGATGACATCTTGATCTATTCCAAGAATGATGAAGAGCATGCCCGACACATCCGGATAGTACTGACTCGACTAAGGGAGCACAAGCTATATGCTAAATTCAGCAAGTGCGAGTTTTGGTTAGATCGAGTGCAGTTTTTGGGGCATGTGTTGACACCTGAAGGCATTTCTGTAGATCCCAGCAAGGTGCAAGATATATTGGATTGGAAGTCTCCCAAGTCTGTGCACCAGTTCCGTTAGTTCCTTGGTCTAGCTGGATACTATTGGTGTTTCATTCCTAATTTCTCTAAGATAGCCCAGCCCATGACCAAGCTGCTCTAGAAAGAAGCTAAGTTTGATTGGAGCCCAGCTTGTGAAGAAGCTTTTCAATCTCTGAAGACTTTTCTGACCACTGCTCCTATGTTGGCTCAACCAGATATTGATAGGCCCTTTGATGTATACTGTGATAACTCGAAGACAGGGTTGGGGTGTGTGCTTATGCAAGATGGGCGAGTGATAGCTTATGCTTCGCGCCAACTAAAGAAGCACGAGGTGAACTACCCCACTCATGACATAGAGCTGGCTGCTGTGGTCCACGCTCTGAAGATTTGGAGGCATTATTTGTTGGGCAACAAAGTGCACATCTTCACAGACCACAAGAGCCTCAAGTATATTTTTACTCAGTCAGAGCTGAACATGAGGCAAAGAAGATGGTTAGAGTTGATAAAGGATTATAATTTGGAAGTCCATTACCATCTAGGAAAAGCCAATGTGGTAGCTGATGCTTTGAGTCAGAAGTCACATCAGGTTGAGGAAATACCCTTGTCTCTCAACCACACAAAGGTGTTAGCTCATATTGCAATGACCTCAGAGTTGCTGGAGCAGATTATTCGGGAGCAAAAGGAAGACCCCAAAGAGATTTCGCACATCAGGAAGTTGATGGTTGAAGGGCGTGGCCCTCATTTTAGCATTGATGAGCAGGGGGTCATGAGATACAGGGATAGACTGGTGGTTCCATCCAATGAAGAGCTAAAAAGAAAATTTTTGAATGAAGCTCACCATTCGAAGTTGTCTATTCATCCTGGCAGTAACAAGATGTATCATGATCTATGCCACTTGTACTGGTGGTCTAACATGAAGCAGGACATCACCCGGCACATCGCGGAGTGTGACACTTGTGGCAGGGTTAAAGCAGATCATATGCGTACCCTAGGATATTTGCAGGCCTTGCCCATTCCGGTTTGGAAATGGGAGGATATTTCCATGGATTTCATTGTGGGTTTACCTTGCACGTCCGCAGGTTATAACTCTATCTAGGTCATTGTGGACCGCCTCACCAAATTGACTCATTTTATTCCAGTGAAGACCACATATACTGCCGGGAAGTATGCAGAGATATACTTTGATCGGATTATGACCCTACATGGAGTTCCCCTGACTATCATCTCTGATAGGGGATCGGTTTTTATGTCTCATTTCTAGGAGCGACTCCATGATTGCCTTGGGACAAGTCTCCTCCGTAGTTTAGCTTATCACCCCCAGACTGATGGTCAAACAGAAAGGGTGAACCAGGTGCTCGAAGACATGTTGCGAGCTTGTACCATTTCTTTTCCTAAGAAGTGGGATAACTGCCTTAAGTTAGCTGAATTATCTTACAACAATAGCTATCAGGAAAGCATCCGCATGGCACCATTTGAAGCTTTATACGGAAGAAAGTGTAGGACGCCACTCAACCGGGTTGAAGTGGGAGACCGCGGATACTTTGGGCCTGAGTTCATCCAAACGGCTCGAGATCAAGTGAGCATCATTCGAAGTCACTTGAAGGCAGCTCAAAGCCGACAGAAAACTTATGCTGATAAGAGGAGAAGGCCCTTGGAGTTTGCAGCTGGAGATTATGTATATCTCAAGGTGTCTCCTATGAGAGGGGTGCATCGGTTTGGCATTCATGGCAAGCTAGCCCCTCGATATGTGGGTCCATATCGGGTGCTGGAGAAATGTGGTCCAATGGCTTACCGTCTATAACTCCCAGATATTCTATCTGCAGTACACAATGTGTTTCACGTATCACAACTGAAGAAGTGTTTGCGGGTTCCTGATGAAGCGGTGGAAATTGAAGATCTTCCCCTCCAGCTAGATTTAACTTATGTGGAGCACCCTATCAAAATCTTGGTTGAGAAGGAGAGAGTGATCAGGAACAGAGTGTAAAATTCTACAAGGTGCAATGGCAAAATCATTCAGAAGATGAAGCCACATGGGAACAGGAGAGCTACATATTAGAGCATTACCCCCACCTTCTCGCCGGCTCGGATAGTTAGTTGCTGCGCCAAAAATGTATTTCCCTATCTCTTTCTCACACTAGGCACCTGAAATCTCGGGTCGAGATTTTGTTTTAGGGGGGTAGATTTGTAACACCCTCAGTGTTACATTGTAATGTTTTTGCTAAAACATTGCATTAGCATCATGCTTGTTTGTACATGTGTGTAATTTGGCATATAAATCAATATACGGCATTTGAAACGTTTATCCGAAACAAGAAATAAATGTTAAGTTTCATGTCGCTTTATATTGTTTAGTATTCTAAACGAATTTTTATCGAATAAAAATGGTGTAGGATGTGTATGTGAACTTTAATAACATTTGTAGTACGTACTCAGTAGTCGATAATGAAACAAGTAGGTCGGAATTGGAATTCGACGCAAAACCGTTCGAAGTTTAAGTCATTTCACGTAAGTTAAAAACGGGTCGACGAAGCCACGTTCGGCAGTGTTTGTAGAGAAATCGGCTTAGGAAGTAGGATAGTGATGAGAACATGGCACCTTTGGATACGAACAATGATTATAAGGTGCGCTCGTTCCTACATTTGTATAGTGGCTTTGGTTATAATTCACTTGGTTCCACATGTACATGTCACTATTTGATTGTAGGTTCAAATGTGTTTCATAATGGAAGTTCATCAAAGTTGAACTTTCGGTTCGTCGGCAGCCCGACAGTGCCTCATTGGGAAGGCCATAACTCATCCATCCGTAGTGCGATCGAGGTCAATGAGCACTTGATGGAAAGCTTGTTTGATAAGATTTCAAATAGATCTGGTCCCATCTCAATATCACGTCGGCAAGGCCTCCAAATCACCAATATATTCTGTCACTATTTCTGGCGGGAGCTACACTGTCGTCATGGGCTTGTTAGACATCTTTGGGATCCAGGCCCAAGTTGGAGCACGCCCCAAGAAGATGGAGAACGCCTAAGAGATGGTCTTGGACGTCCTCCTCCTTGGCCACCACCTTAGGAGGCCAGCAAGGACGTCTAAGCCAAGCCAGAGGCC